ACAGATGGCAAAACTGGGTTTGGATTCTGGCTCTGTTGCTTGTAGTGTATCTTAACAAGCATTCGTTTTGCCATTTATAGCATCGGAATAATACTTCCGAGATGTGTATTGTGTAGACTAAAAAAGTTGAGTATGTATAGTGCCCAATATATATATTATCTTCTTTTCTTTTCTTTTTTTAAAAAAATATTTTATTGATTTTTTGCAGAAAGGAAGAAAGAGGGATAGAGAGTTAGAAACATCGATGAGAGAGAATCATCGATTAGCTGCCTCTTGCACCCCCCACACTGGGGATATGCCCGCAACCAAGGTACATGCCCTTGACCGGAATCAAACCCGGGATCTTTCAGTCCGCAGGCCGATGCTCTATCCACTGAGCCAAATCGGTTTTGGCTATATTATCTTCTTTTCAATACTTACTGCCTTCCCGGTTCCCTAAGGAACAATGCTTTAAGCTTATGGTTGTTCCCCTAAATTCATAGAGATGGTTTTGGGGATGAAGAACTTCTTCCATGGAGTAGTTATTTTCTTAGGGTCCTCTCTGATGGGGTGACTTTTAAAGTAACCTTCTTGCGCTCTAATGGACTTCCTCTCTAGACTACATCAGGACACCTTCACCCTGGGGTCTGAGGAGGTTTGCTTTGCACAAGTAATACTGTGGCTAACCTAAAGGATCTGTGCTTACATGTGACTTTTCATAGTTTCATTGACATTTACCAACTGTGTTTTCATTTCCATTTTGTGTTCTCTCTCTCTCTTTTATAAAAAAATATATGTCTGGATTTACACTTAAAATGATTCTCATTATCCTATAATATTTCTTCCCCTGTAGATATTCCTAAAACAACTAGATCCTAATTATATATATATATATATATTCTACCAAAATGCTCTTAAATTCTTTCATTATCTGCTCTTAAACATATACTACAAACATTAAGTGATTTGCTGTGCTTTTAAATGTTACTTGTTTTTCTATGCAAAATATAGATATTCATTGAAGTTCTCACATTTAAAATACTTGCATGATTATTGTTATATAACAACTTTGCTTTTGGTCTGGATAGAAGCCACAGTGATGACTCAGTTCATTCCATGAACCTGAAGTCTAATTTCCTAAAATAGACAATAGCTGAGTTATGTTTATGTCATAAATTAATGAAACAACAGTATATAAAAATTATAAATGTGGCTCCTGTTTTATTTATTTATTTATTTATTTATTTATTTATTCCAGGTCAGGATACATACCCAGATTGCAGGTTCAATTCCTGGTTGGGGCATGTATAGGAGATAGCCAATAGATGTTTCTCTCATATCGATGTATCTCTCTCTTTTCCTTCCCCTCTCTCTAAAAATCAATTAAAATGCTTTAAAAATGTTTAGAACAGGGCTTATCATAGATTGGCATTCAAGATATGTTATCCTTTTAAAAAGTTGAAGAAAATGATGAATTATCGATAGGTTAGGATTAATCTTTATATCTGTTTACTAAATTGAACATCAAGAGCTTTTAAGAGGGTTTTTCTGAATCACCAGAATACTGTAGTTTAAATAAATTGTCAATGAGGCTTGTGTAACTCTGTCTAGCATGTGGCCAGGGGCAGGGCATAGCATCTTTTGGTCTCTCAAGTATCATCATGAAAATAGGCTGGTATATCCAGGAACTTCAGTAGGAGAAATCAGAGGACAGAGTAGAGAATTATTATGACATGTGCTTGGTACTTACTAAAAAAATTTCAAGCCCTGACCAGGTGGCTCAGTCAGTTGGAGCATCATCCCTTTGTGGACTTGATTCCTGGTCAGGGCACATACCAAGGTTGCAGGTTCAATCCCCAGTTATAAGGGAGGCTCTCCCTCTTTCCCTTCTTCTTTCTAAAATAAATGGAAACATATCATTGGGCAAGGAGTAAAAAACTCTTTCTTTTTTTAAAATATATTTTATTGATTTTTTTTTACAGAGAGGAAGGGAGAGAGATAGAGAGACATCGACCAGCTGCCTCTTGCACACCCCCTACAGGGGATGTGCCCACAACCGATGTACATGCCCTTGACCGGAATCGAACCTGGGACCTTCCAGTCTGCAGACTGACACTCTACCACTGAGCCAAACCGGTTTCGGCTAAAAAACACTTTCAAAAATAGCAGAAAAAAAGAAAATGCCAAAAAAAACACTAAGAAGTTTAGCTGGGTATGCAACACAGTGCCAAATCATCTAACTTTTCCTCCACTGTCAACGAGAGAAAGCACTTCTAAAATGAAATGATTTTAGGAGGCATAGTGATTTGTTTGACTTGGTTTACTAAAAATTATTATGCAAGTTGGTTATGTAGCCATGGCATCAGCTGGGTTTCTATGGTTACAAAAACAATTACTCTTCTACAGTCTTTGCAACAGAGAAGTGTTTGATTATGTTCTTAAAGTTGTTTTGTAGTCCAAGGAATTTTATTTCGACCTAAAGAGCAAACCTGAATGTTTAACTGTTTTTCTGAACTGTTCATAATTTAAAAGAATCAGAGGAGAAAGTTAGATTACGGAGATGTCAACTGTGTGCATTATGTTTTGCATTTAGAATCACACATCCAGGCAATTCATGCTGCAGGGCCCACACACTAACCCCACCATCCACTGATGTGTTCCAGGTCGCCCATTTTCCATTGCCTGTGACTAGTACTTCCCTCCATTACCCTGTCTTCTCCTCTCTCAGCAGACAGAAGGCAGAAAGAAATAGAGTCCCTAACCTTTTATTTAATTTTTGTTATTTATTTATTTTTTAAAATATATTTTATTGATTTTTTTTCCCCCACAGAGAAGAAGGGAGAGGAACAGAAAGATAGAAGCTAAGCAACTTACTTGTCCAAGGGCACACAGGCAGGAAGTGGCTCCAACTCCAGAGCCAGGCCCTGAACCGCTATGCTCCACTGCATAGAGTTAAGGCAGCAGGCAGAGCATATAAAACAAGACAATTTCAAGAATTACACGGAAGTAATAAAAAATTGGTGGGACATAAAACAGAGCTAGGAATGATATAGGTGACATGCTGGGCATTTATCATCTCTGCTTCTCTGCCAGGTTGAATTCATGGTGGTTGCAAGTTTTAAGTATTTCCCCACCCCCTCCACCCCCCATTCACTTATCAGAGAATATTAAGTTGCAGTTGTCAGCATCTGGAAGGAAGTTTTCTTGTTTGTTTCAGAGGCACTGAAATCACACCCAGAGAGCCTCTTAGTCAAGGGCATGGTCATTTGCTACTCTTTCCACAGCATCAGCAACTGTCCTTTTTTTTTTTTTTTAAGTCATGTACACAATGATGGGAGAGTTGATTCCTGCTTTCTAGTGTGTGTGTGTGTGTGTGTGTGTGTGTGTGTGTGTGTGTGATGAACAACTCCTGGGCACTGAGAAAAAACTGGTCTATTGATCCCACAGCCTCCTAGTTACACAGAAATAGCTTTTTTCCGCCAAAACCGGTTTGGCTCAGTGGATAGAGCGTTGGCCTGCGGACTGAAAGGTCCCGGGTTCGATTCTGATCAAGGGCATGTACATTGGTTGCGGGCACATCCCCAGTAGGGGGTGTGCAAGAGGCAGCTGGCCGATGTTTTCCTCTCATCAACGTTTCTAACTCTCTATCCCTCTCAATTCCTCTCTATGTAAAATCAATAATATATATATATATATATATATATATATATATATATATATATATATATTTAAAGAAATAGCTTTCCCCCCCACTTCTATCCCTTCTATCCTGTTGGTTGTCCTCCATCCTCAACTCTTCTTTATTCTTTATTCTCTTTCACTCTGACTTTGCCTTCAGCTCCTTTTGTACAATAACTCTTTATCATTGCTCTTCATATTGACCAAAGTGGCCATGTTAAAGGAAGATATAATATTTAGTTATGGAAGCCAACATAATGATTGAGTGCAGGGCCTTGGAGTTATGATTCAATTTGTGGCTTCATCACTGAAGAGTTACCTGACTTCGGGAAATCATTTAACTTTTCCTTTCACCACCTATAAATTGGAGGAGGGATAACGGTTCCTACCTCAAAGAGTTGCTGTTAGGATGGGAGAGAATGCATGTGCCATTCTCAGAAGAATGCTTGGCACATGGTCTCAATAACTATTAGCTCATGTTATTTAAAAATGTTTATTAGGGGATTGTTGTACTTAGGGAACTTCATACAACTTTCCTTTATTGAAGAATCCAGAGAACTACTGGGGCAAGAAATAGTGGCACTCAGAGGCTTCCTGGGGCAAGCACCATAGAGATTTTGTCTTTTCTTCTTTGTGATAGTGATCTTGTGATAAGCTGGGCCCGGAAAGCTTGGACAAGGGCAAGCATCTTTTGCAGACTTTCCTCGGGTGGAGATTACCTTGTTGAGTGTGAGGTGACCCAGGCCAAGGGATGGAAGTGGGGAGAAAGCAGTTCGATAGGCGTGGGCAGCACAGCGTTTGGCTCCCGGAGGCTGAGGAAGAACCCAGGCCAGGACGATGCGCGAGCCCGGAGCGTGTCCTTATTGTTTGCTTTTCTTTGAGGAAGACGCTGAGTCTAGGCAGTTTGCAGAGCTGGGGCTCTGGTGTCAGGGACGGAGCAGGGGCGCCCACGGCACTGTAGGGGGCTTGGCCCTGGAGGGCTGGCTGGGCGGACAGGGCGGAGGCTCCCTCCTGAAGTGTCCAGCAGCTGTCCCGCCGCTGCCTCCTCCTCCTGCGTCCTGCACCCCCAAGCCTCTGCCTCCCTCGCCCACTCCCACCCCCTAAGCAGTGGGTGGCAGTGCAGCTGGCGGCGGTGCAGCGAGCGGCGGGTGCAGTGGGTGCAGTGGGCTCAGTGGGTGCAGTGTGCAGCGAGCGGCGGCGGTGCAGCGCGTGGCCTCGCGCGCCCCAGCAGGACGCGCCTCAGGACGTGGGGTCCTTCCCTCCTCCCCGCCTCCTGCCCGCTCGGCGCGGGCCTGGCGGAAGGAGGAGGGAGGAGAGGAAAGAGAGACGAGGGAGGGCGGGGGCCGGGCTGCATCACTCCGCACCGGCTGCGGCTGCGGCGCGGTCAGAGGAGCAGGTGGAGCTGGCGGCGCGCACAGAGCGGAGCGCCAGCTCCGCGGGGACCGCAGTGACGCTGCCCGGAGACGTGGCGGCCCGGCGCCTCTGAAGCAGCAGCAGTCGCACCCCGAGCCGCCGGGGCCATGCCGCTGGGCCGCTGAGCGCGCCGGGCGCCGGCCGGGAGGACACCGCGGCCGCCGCGCCCTGCGCTCTCCATGCTGCGTCCCGCGTCAGCGTCTCGGGCGGTGTAGCTGCTGCCGCCGCCGGAGGAGCAGGCAGGACATTGCTCTCTGCTCCTTCATTCAGCCACACTTTTCTTTTCCATTTGTATCCCCTTTCCCATCTCCATTCCCGTCTCCCTCTACCTCGCCTGCTCGGCATCCGTCTCCCCCGCCCGGTGACCCCCTCCCGCCTCCGCGCGCCGGGGCTATGGCCGCGGAAGAGGTGCTGCAGACGGTGGACCATTACAAGACGGAGATAGAGAGGCTGACCAAGGAGCTCACGGAGACGACCCACGAGAAGATCCAGGCTGCCGAGTACGGGCTGGTGGTGCTGGAGGAGAAGCTGACCCTCAAGCAGCAGTATGACGAGCTGGAGGCCGAGTACGACAGCCTCAAGCAGGAGCTGGAGCAGCTGAAGGAGGTGAGTCCGCCTGTCACCCCATCTTCCTCGCCGCCCCAATCCTTCCCATCCCCAACCTCATCCTTAATCCTTTATTACCAGGTCGGAAAGGATGCTATGGAAAGGATGGTTTCTTCATCTCAGAGCCCTCTGGGGATAAGAGACATTGAAAGGGTCCATTGTTTTCCTCACCAGAGAAAAATTGCCCAGGAAATGAATGTAGGAGCTGGAATTTGGGAGGTGGTGGCTGTGGGGGTGGGAGATGCATGAGAGTCTTGGAGTCCCAGCACTCCTCTCAGGCGACAGACATTCCACTGGGTCGGAATGTTATCCATCCAACTTCGCAAAGCTGCTGTTACTGCAAACCCAGGTTTCAGGGACAACCCCATAACTCCAAGGCTTTGAGCAGGTTTGTGTCCGGGGACCCACAATTTCAGGATGTAGAACCTAGGGTGCCTTATGTAGAATTCTCTGCCAAAGGTAACCACTTCTTGATGAGAGAGGGGACTGTTAGAAGGACTCCCTGCCAATCCCATTCGGCAGTCTTCCTTCTGCTGGGCTTTACTTATGATTGTCATCTGGCTGAGGGAGAAAAACAACTCTGCTGGAGGGTCCCACTGCCCTGTGTTCACCTGAGTCAGGCCGGCTGGGCCTGTGCTCAAGTCTTATGAGGTCACCCTGACCAGGGGAATGCTAACTCCCGCACAAATGGTCTGAAGCAATACGTGGGCAGACCTGCCCTTCACGAGAGGCTCTTGTGTTGGAAAGGACCGCATTTATCAAACGGGACTGTCGCAAATGGACACTTGCCCTCTTCAGTCTTTTGGTGTTTGGCTTCTTTTACAGACGGGCTAATGGATTGGGAGAAAAGAATAAGTATGCTTTGATTTCCTATCAACAACACTCATAGGAATATACCTATTGTTGAAGGAACTCAGTCTGTTTCATCCCATTTCTGAGACACTATGGGTAGCAAGTCGCTGGTAAATACATTTAAATGTACACAGTGCTTGGCAAGTCTTTATTTTTAGGTGCACATTGGCGTTTGAAATGTTAATTCTAATTTTGTATATAATACCAAAAATGCATTTCTTAAAACACACTCAGTTGTTGTTGTTGTTTTTTTTGGGGGGTGGGGGGAGAGGGGTGGGGAGGGAGCATCTTATATTGTGTTGTTATAGTTTAAAACATTTATGGCATAACTAATCAACTTGCCTTCTAATTGAGTACATAATATGGTAAGCATATATACTTTCAGGTACCGTTTAGTTTTTATTCTGATGCCTAAATGTCCCCAAAGTTAATATATGGTAAAGATCCTACCTGGAAATCGGTTTTTTTGTGTGTATCAGGCTGTGAATTTCTCGTGCAGGTTTCTCTGACCGTGTCCATGTCTGGTTCTAACAACAGCTGGACTTACTGGTATTTTCCAGTTTAGATTGGGTCTTAGGCTGATGTGTTTAAATCCAGTCAGACTAAACCTTGTGAAACAGGATGATGATTGTAATTCTCAGAGATGTTTTGATGTTGTCTACAACCGTCATCATGGCTTTGCCAAGACGAGGAAGTGCAGACCAGGCAGAGTTAAGCCAGCCTGTCCTTGATAAAGGAGGAAGACTTATTCTAGTGAAATGGAGTAGAACTGTTACCTGACCTTCCTGCTGGATTTAAATAACCCTTTCAGGGTTTTTTTTCCCTTGTGTCATTGTACTGACCATGCAGAGTAAACCTTAATTCAGTTGTTTTTTGCCTTTTCTAGATCATGAGCTCTTAGGCAAGGAATCTGACTTAATTTATTGTACTTTGTTCTCAAAGTCTTTAACATAAAGCCTAGCACAGCGAGTGTGCAATAAGAATTTTAAGAAAGAATAAATTTATACTGGGAGAGGATACCTTTATCAAGCATTCACTAGTCAATATTGATTAGTGTCAGAGAAAGACCAAGAAAATTAGGAAGTACGGAAAGGGACTAGTGTTAAAAAGAACTACCTGTATTGCTTTCTTCAGCAATAGTGGGGAAAATGACAAAACAGTGTTTTGTAGGAATAGTGTAACCTGGTTTCTTTCTTTCTTTTTAAAAAAATATATTTTATTGATTTTTTAAAGACAGGAAGAGAGAGGGATAGAGAGCTAGAAACATCGATGGTGAGAGAAACATCGACCAGCTGCTCCTGCACAACCCCTACTGGGGATTGTGCCCACAACCAATGTACATGCCCTTGTCCAGAATCGAACCTGGGACCTTTCAGTTCGCAGACCGACGCTCTAACACTGAGCCAAACTGGTTTTGGCGTAACCTGGTTTCTTAACAGAGAATAATGCAAACACCAATCATTTTTTTTTTTTCCTGTAAGAAATTTTTCTTTTTTTCTGTAAGAAATTTGAGGCATATTTTGTTCTTTGTGGCAGGAGGGTAATAGAATTTATCAGGAGGATTTTTACCAAATGATACTTGAGAAGGAGAGAGAGAGATAGAAACATCAATGATGAGAGAGACTCATTGGTCGGTTAACTCCTGCACACCCCCTACTGGGGATTGAGTTCTGACTGGGAATCCAACCTTGGCCTACTGGCTCATAGGGCGACATTCAACCACTGAGCCACACCAGCCGGGCATCTCTGGCTTGTGTCTAGGCTCTTGCAACAAATATGACTCATTATTAAATAACTGGGATGGGAATGTCAACAGAAAAACACTGTACTAAGTCCAAGTTGGACGTTAGTAATTTGCATTGCAGCAATTTGGCTCAGTCTTTACTGGCCGTTTTGTTTCTGAGAGTCAGCACCCACAATGCCGCCGCCTTCCTCCCCAGGCCGGGCTCTGCCCTGCCCGTAGTGCAAGTGAGCCGTGCTGCCTGGAGACGTACAAAACCAAGAGGATGAAGTTATTACTTTTCCTTTAGACATGTCTTTCCTCAGTCCGGATTGCCTTTTGGCCTGGGCTGATAACACGAAGGCCTGTACCCTGTGCCTACAGGACTGCTGAAATTGTGTTCCCAAAAGAACACACTTCAGAGAAAAGGACTAAGGATCTGAAAAAAGGGTGGCGTCTGACCTCACCACGGCCTCCTTTTCATTATACTTGGGCAGCTGGACAAAGCAGCATGTCCACTAGAATGCTTGACCGTGGTTTGAGTTCACAGATAATGCTTGCTTTTCAGTGACCTGAGGGGCACCCATGCCCAATTATGTCCTGGCTGGTTTTATGTCTGGGATGTGCGCAAATCAACACCGTCTGTCCCCAGGCCAAAATAGTACTTGAAGAAGTCATGATTCTAAGATAACTTGAAAAACAAAAATATACATGTATATATATATATTTTTAAAAATCCCATAGAGCCCTGACTGGTTTGACTCAGTGGATAGGGCATCGGCCTGTGGATGATGAAGGATCCCAGGTCGATTCCCATCAAGGTCATGTACCTTGGTTTCGGGCACATCCACAGTGGGGGGTGAGCAGGAGGCAGATGATTGATGTTTCTAACTCTCTATCCCTCTCCCTTCCTCTCTGTAAAAAAAAAAAAAAAATCAATCATATATATATATATATATATATATATATATACACACACACACACACCATAGAATTTAAATTTAAGGATTTCTTTTAAACTTAAAAAATATAGTTGAAATTTTAAATGTAGTCAAGTTTAAAAAGATCCCCTAAGACAGGAATGATTCAGCATTTCTGGTATAATTTTAGAAAACATATCCACATGACAGGACAACTTTAGGAAAGTTGTGCAGCTAGGTTCCAACAAACTGTGGACTAAGAATCTTCAACTCATTTTCTTGGTCTGTTTCTCAACCCTGATACCAAGGATAGACACCGCCTGCTGAAGAAGCACTGTGTGGGCACTGCACATGTGTTTTTTTTCCCCCCAGGGCCATAGTGAAATCATTCAGTAAATAGTGTTTAATTTACTTTTAGAAATTGTCACATTAGGGACCTGATGAAAGCCACTTAATTACCTGCCTTCATCTTTAAAGAACTAATTCTCTCCCCCCTCCATGCTTAAGAAAAATTGTTAGCTTATTTTATGCCTGTAAATTCTAATCATGAAATCATATGGGGGTGGGGAGGAAGTAAAAAAACACACCAGATTTCCACACCCCCATCTATGAATAAACAGAAAGTTAATTCTTTATTTGACTTACTCTATTATTTTTCCCTTATTGCTTTTAAAGAAGAAATTTATTATTCAGTTTATTATCAAATGAATCAAAACATCTAAAATATATCAACATAAGCTCTGGGAAACTGTGGACAACCTCAAAAACAAACATAACCTCTTTCAATCACATTTCTCTTTTTTTGACCCAATTGCTTTATCTTGCATCATCCCCTCTTTTTTCAACTCAACATTTCAGCTGTGGCAAAGTTACTTCTCAGATACCATTTCAGGGGATTTTATACTCTTTCATTACATTTACCATGATTGCACGAACATGGATAGCAGCCATGGTTTGAAGATTTTCTTTTCTTTTCAGAATTTCATGCTTACAAATATTCTTCCTTGTCGTCCCTTTAAACGCACTTGTACTTTATGGATATTGATATTGTGTGCCAGGTTAAAAATATATTTAGTTGTATGTTGAAAAATATAGTAAAGTGGACTTTCTCATACACAAGGTTATACCTATAAATATGGCTTTGAAGGAGAAGAGGACATGAAGAGATGCATAGTCTTACTATTAAGTCCTTCATTATGGTAAAGAAAGACATGTGGCCGAAACCAGTTTGGCTCAGTGCCAAAACCGGTTTGGCTCAGTGGTAGAGCGTTGGTCTGTGGACTGAAAGGTCCTGGGTTCGATTCCGGTCAAGGGCATGTACATTGGTTGCAGGCACATCCCCGGTGGGGGGTGTGCAGGAGGCGACTGGTTGATGTTTCTCTCTCATCGATGTTTCTGGCTCTCTATTTCTCTCCCTTCCTCTCTGTAAAAAAATCAATAAAATATATATAAAAAAAGAAAAGAAAGACATGTGAAGTCAGGTAGCCACTGCAAAGGGTCACAGTCAC